TGAAACTGTGATTAAAAATCTTCCAACAAACAAAAGCCCAGGACCAGATGGCTTCACAGGCGAATTCTATCAAACATTTAGAGAAGAGCTAACACCTATCCTTCTCAAACTCTTCCAAAATATAGCAGAGGGAGGAACACTCCCAAACTCATTCTACGAGGCCACCATCACCTTGATACCAAAACCAGACAAGGATGTCACAAAGAAAGAAAACTACAGGCCAATATCACTGATGAACATAGATGCAAAAATCCTCAACAAAATACTAGCAAACAGAATCCAACAGCACATTAAAAGGATCATACACCATGATCAAGTGGGGTTTATTCCAGGAATGCAAGGATTCTTCAATATACGCAAATCTATCAATGTGATTAACCATATTAACAAATTGAAGGAGAAAAACCATATGATCATCTCAATAGATGCAGAGAAAGCTTTTGACAAAATTCAACACCCATTTATGATAAAAACCCTGCAGAAAGTAGGTGTAGAGGGAACTTTCCTCAATATAATAAAGGCCGTATATGACAAGCCCACAGCCAACATCATCCTCAATGGCGAAAAACTGAAAGCATTTCCACTAAGGTCAGGAACAAGACAAGGTTGCCCACTCTCACCACTCTTATTCAACATAGTTTTGGAAGTTTTAGCCACAGCAATCAGAGAAGAAAAGGAAATAAAAGGAATCCAAATCGGAAAAGAAGAAGTAAAGCTGTCACTGTTTGCAGATGACATGATACTATACATAGAGAATCCTAAAGATGCTACCAGAAAACTACTAGAGCTAATCAATGAATTTGGTAAAGTAGCAGGATACAAAATTAATGCACAGAAATCTCTGGCATTCCTATATACTAATGATGAAAAATCTGAAAGTGAAATCAAGAAAACACTCCCATTTACCATTGCAACAAAAAGAATAAAATATCTAGGAATAAACCTACCTAAGGAGACAAAAGACCTGTATGCAGAAAATTATAAGACACTGATGAAAGAAATTAAAGATGATACAAATAGATGGAGATATATACCATGTTATTGGATTGGAAGAATCAACATTGTGAAAATGACTTTACTATCCAAAGCAATCTATAGATTCAATGCAATCCCTATCAAACTACCACTGGCATTTTTCACAGAACTAGAACAAAAAATTTCACAATTTGTATGGAAACACAAAAGACCCCGAATAGCCAAATCAATCTTGAGAACACAAAATGGAGCTGGAGGAATCAGGCTCCCTGGCTTCAGACTATACTACAAAGCTACAGTAATCAAGACAGTATGGTACTGGCACAAAAACAGAAAGCTAGATCAATGGAATAGGATAGAAAGCCCAGAGATAAACCCACGCAAATATGGACGCCTTATCTTTGATAAAGGTGGCAGGAATATACAGTGGAGAAAGGACAGCCTCTTCAATAAGTGGTGCTGGGAAAACTGGACAGGTACATGTAAAAGTATGAGATTAGATCACTCCCTAACACCATACACAAAAATAAGCTCAAAATGGATTAAAGACCTAAATGTAAGGCCAGAAACTATCAAACTCTTAGAGGAAAACATAGGCAGAACACTCTATGATCTATGACATAAATCACAGCAAGATCCTTCTTGACCCATCTCCTAGAGTAATGGAGATAACAAAAATAAACAAATGGGACCTAATGAAACTTCAAAGCTTTTGCACAGCAAAGGAAACCATAAACAAGACCAAAAGACAACCCTCAGAATGGGAGAAAATATTTGCAAATGAATCAACTGACAAAGGATTAATCTCCAAAATTTACAGGCAGCTCATGCAGCTCAATATCAAAAAAACAACCCAATCCAAAAATGGGCAGAAGACCTAAATAGACATTTCTCCAAAGAAGATATACAGACTGCCAACAAACACATGAAAGAATGCTCAACATCATTAATCATTAGAGAAATGCAAATCAAAACTACAATGAGATATCATCTCACACCAGTCAGAATGGCCATCATCAAAAAATCTAGAAGCAATAAATGCTGGAGAGGGTATGGAGAAAAGAAAGGGAACACTCTTGCACTGCTGGTGGGAATGTGAATTGGTTCAGCCACTATGGAGAACAGTATGGAGGTTCCTTAAAAAACTACAAATAGAACTACCATATGACCCAGCAATCCCACTACTAGGTATATACCCTGAGGAAACCAGAATTCAGAAAGAGTCATGTACCAAAATGTTCATTGCAGCTCTATTTACAATAGCCCGGAGATGGAAACAACCTAAGTGCCCGTCGTCGGATGAATGGATAAAGAAGATGTGGCACATATATACAATGGAATATTACTCAGCCATAAAAAGAAACGAAATTGAGCTATTTGTAATGAGGTGGATAGATCTAGAGTCTGTCATACAGAGTGAAGTAAGTCAGAAAGAGAAGGACAAATACCGTATGCTAACACATATATATGGAATTTAAGAAAAAAAAATGTTATGAAGCACCTAGGGGCAAAACAGGAATAAAGACACAGACCTACTGGAGAACAGACTTGAGGATATGGGGAGGGGGAAGGGTGAGCTGTGATAGGGCGAGAGAGAGACATGGACATATATATACTAACAAATGTAAGGTAGATAGCCAGTGGGAAGCAGCCGCATGGCACAGGGATTCCGGATCGGTTCTTTGTGGCTGCCTGGAGGGGTGGGATAGGGAGGGTGGGAGGGAGGGAGACAAAGAGGGAAGAGATATGGGAATATATGTATATGTATAACTGATTCACTCTGTTATAAAGCAGAAACTAACAAACAAAAAAAATCCATGAGGGTAGTTGATACTCTGCTTTTAGAAAAATGGCCTTCTAATGTCTGTCTTAGTTGGTAAATAGTAACACATACAATGAGTGCCCGCCAATGACAGTGGTGCTTTGGAACATTACAGAGGCAATCATTTGCATAGTTCCTGATGATCATTTTACTGCTATGGACCAGTGACTGTTAAATGTCTCCATTCCCTCCTTTTTGAATGGGAGTTCTGTTACAATTATTTTGTCCCTTTCTCATATATTGGGTGTTTGGGGGAGGGAAGACAAGAACTTTTTTTCTTAGTTATAGGTCTTCATGTTGAGAGGAGCTGTACCCCAGGATCCTCATTCACATGTGGACCTGGTGCAGATGACAAGATCCTGGATTTTGAGCCAATGATATAATGAGATGAGGCTTTGGGAAAGGGATATTAATTGTTATCGCCAGAACATCAAGAGAAGCAAGTGATAGTGAAAAAATTCTGGCCTCATTTTTCAGTATTAATTAAGAGTACAATATTTGAACTGCAAGAGTGAAGGGTATGTGGGCTGGTAGGGAGGGGAAGGGGTAGTTGGGAGGGTGCTACATTGAAGGCCCAGAGAGAAATAAACAAAAGAGGAAATTTTACCCCACATTGCTCATGAAGGGTATACTCTGTTTCTGTAGCCTTACAACATTGATTGTACAGATAATGCAAAGGATAGGTAAGATTATGCAAAGATTAGATTCCCAAGATGGCCTTTGCCCATAAGCATATCAGTAGTGAAATGAGGAAGGTGGTTTATTATTGTGGGAAAAGGTTTATTATTAATGGTGAGACACACTTGGTTTTAAATTTCTATTCTGCCCCTTACTGATGCCACTTACCTTGGGCAAGCTATTTAACACCAGTTGGATAGTATCTTATAATTTTTTGTTTTTGTTTTTGTATATTATTTTGGGAGTATGTCATAAATGTACTTGTTAGAATCCTTAACTTGTCAGTGGCTCACTCTAGTGTGAATGGAGGTTGACCTAGAATTATCTCTGACATTAGAGGTCTGAAGGCTATTTAGTAGAAACTGAAGTTTCAGCCCTAATGATTGATAATGACAAATAAAAATGGCCCTTCAGCTACATAATTCCTGTTCCTAGTCTGAAAGGAATTTATGATTTTTTTTCTTAGAATGGAATAGAAAGCAGAAGATTGGCTGTGATTATCTTGCAAGCTAGAAATTCCACTTTGAACAACTAACTTACTGTTTATGCTTGAATCTCTTATTAGTTCACCAGGTCAGAATACCTGGAAGGGCTGATAGGTTTGAGTGCTGCTTCTGAGATACAAACCCAGAATCTAGGTGTAGTTACATTAAGAAGGCAGCCACTATGAAGTGTCCAATCCTGAGAACCTGTAAAACGACAATGGAGTCCAACCCTATTAGGAAAATCCCAATTAATTCTATTAGAGAAATCCCAGATCCCTTTTAATCCTGGTCATTAGACCTTGGGCTAAAAGGAAGATATTTGACACTTGCTGTGTGTCAGATACTGTTGGGTCATTCCACATAACATTATCTTATTTAATCCTTGTTATTTCCCTGTGAAATACTTTGTGTTGTCCCCATTTACAATTCCTCAAATGCCCAAATTTTTATTCACCTTTTCAGCTTTTATATATCCTATACCCTCCATCTGGAATGGTCTTATTCCTACCCTTTGCCTAATGAATCCCTGCTTGTCCTTCAGAGCTCATCTCAGATGTTACTACTCAAGGAAGTCTTCCTTACCCCCAGGTTTGTTTCCTTATTATACACTGTAGTAACATACTATATCTTAATAAGCACAAGAAATTATATGATTAGTCATTTAATGTCTGTCATTCATGCTGAAGTATGACCCCATGAGGATGGGAACTGTATCTGTGTCGTTTTTCTGGGTTATTTATAGTGCCAAGTATGTGTAGTTTCTTACACACTGGTACTCAGTAAGTAATCGGTGTGTGATAGTGGCAAACGAATGCCATAGTCAGGAGTTGAATGCTTGTGTAATAGAACTTCAAAATTTCTTTCTGTAAATTACACCATACCCAGAACCCAGCAGGAAGTTTCTCAGTGTTGCCCAAGAGGCTTTTCCTTGACTCTTTCAGTTCTAGATTGGCTATCTATTAAAGTTATTCATTAGCCCTAGGTACTGGCCTGGGTGTGGCTCTGAGATAAGGAACTGAAAGTCTTCAACAAACTTCCCCAGCTGTGTGTGGGTGAGCTCTTCAGAGAAGTCCCACCTTTCTGAGCAGCTGTTTTGAAGACAGGTGGTGGGAAAGGCTCCAGGACTCCATGTCCCATTAAGAAACTTTACAAGAGGGACACATCTGGTTTACCAGTTTTTGACTTCCTTCTGAGCTGAAAACTTTGTTTTGTAGAAAAGCAAAACTTGGCCATAAACACCTAAAATGCGGAGCCCCCGAACCTTTGAGGAGCAAACGGAATGCATTGTAGACTCTCTACTCACAGACTTCTTAGGTCCCACTTGTCAGGTTGCTAACCGGACCCTACGTTGTGCAGACGAACCAGATTCAGGTAAGGCTTCTGGCCTGAGGTGGTAATTGCAGGTCAACAAGAGAATCTGAATATTCTTACTTATGTCTTCTTAAGTTTCAAAAGGTAAGCTCTAAGCTTTCAGCAATATCTGAAGTCTTTATAGAAGGGAAATAGATTCTCAGTGAAGGGAGATTTTCTGTCTTCTATTGGTGTTGACAGAATATTGAAGATTTTCTTGGGAGAGAATGTTGCCCAAATTGTGTAAAAAGTCTAGAGAACTTTCTTCAATGCCTAGATTCCTGGGACTTGCCATCCCTTTTAAGCACTCTGACGAATGTGACTGTGTTCCCTCTGTTTTAGGAGAGGTCTGCTCTTTTGATGTGGCCATCATTGCTGGTCGCCTTCGGATGTTGGGTGACAAGTTCAATGGAGAATTGGAAGCTCCTGCCAAAAACATCATCGCAGAAACCATTCAGGGACAGGTCAACTTTCTGCTACTTCCTTCTATTGTTTGCTGCTTTTTTTCTATTTCAGATATCCTTCTCTTACTACTCCTATATGACTGTGACTAGAAATGTTCTGTGAAAGATTTGGGGGCTTAATGCATCCACGGAGATCAAGCAGGAATTCTTCAACTGCCAATTCTTTAGCAGTTAATCAAAGGCTAGGTGATATTGAGGTGGAGAGCTTTTGGCATAGGCTGATCAGCCTTCAGATTGTTTCTATTTGTTTTTCATCAGAGCTGTGCTTAATGGCATAGAGCATATATATAGCATTTTATTCTTTTATGCACCTGTTTTAATATTTATTTTGCTAGTAGTGGACATCTTTTTTTCCTCAAGGTCCAGCAATAAAATTATATACAGGAAGGATAGGCATTTGACAAATCCGACGCAACGAAGGATAAGTACAGCAGCCACTAGGGCGTATCTGGCTTTTCATCAGTGTCTTGATTCCTGGACTCTGTATGGGATGTAAATACCATAGGTAATGTTCTAGAAGAGGTTGCTGATTAATATCAATAATGACAGCTAATATTAACTCATCACTTACCATGTGCCAGACAGTATTCTAAATGCTTTACGTTTATTAACTCATTTAATCCTTACACCACTCTGTGAGGCATTACAGAAACTGTTATCCACAGTGCAACCTCTCTCATCTGTGTGTAACACTGTGAGAGCAAACATCTAACCCATTTTGTCCACTGCTATATTCACACAACCTAGAACAGAACATGATATACAATAGGCCCTCAAAAAGTATTTTCTGACTTAGTAACCATTTAAGCCAATAAGGAAACTGAAGAATAGGGAAATAAGTAATTAGATTATTTAGTAAGTGTTGAAGTTAGGATTTGAACCCAGACTGATTCCAGAATCACACTTTTTTTAAAAAATTGAGGTAGCATTGCTTTATTACTTTACATAAGTTTCATATGTACAACATTATAATTCCACTTTTGTATACACCACAGCATGCTTGCCACCAAAAGTCTAGTTTCTCTCTGTCACCATAAAATTGACCCCCTTTACCCATTTTGGTTCTTTTTGGTTTTCTTAATTAATTAATTAATTAATATTTTATTTTTGGCTGCATTGGGTCTTCGTTGCTGTACGTGGGCTTTCTCTAGTTGCGGTGAGCGGAGGCTACGCTTCGTGGTGGTGCGCAGGCTTCTCATTGCAGTGGCTTCTCTTTGTTGTGGAGCACGGGCTCTAGGCGCGCGGACTTCAGTAGCTGTGGCCCACAGGCTTTGTTGCTCCGTGGCATGTGGGACCTTCCTGGACCAGGGCTCGAACCCATGTCCCCTGCGTTGGCAGGCAGATTCTTAACCACTGTGCCACCAGGGAAGTCCCCCCTTTACCCATTTTGACCTCGCCCTATCTCCTGGTCACCACCAATCTATTCTCTGTATCTCTGTGCTGAACCACACCCTTAACCATTGTGCTTTATCTTCCTACTGAATGCAGCTCAGGCAGAACTGGACTTATCACACCTAATTGCTTGCACTGAAGCTTTCCTAGGTAGCTGGTAGCTGGATCTACTTTTACTTTTTAATTAAAAAAAATTATTTTGGGGCTTCCCTGGTGGCGCAGTGGTTGAGAGTCCGCCTACCGATGCAGGGGACACGGGTTTGTGCCCCGGTCCGGGAAGGTCCCACATGCCGCGGAGCGGCTGGGCCCATGAGCCATGGCCGCTGGACCTGTGCGTCCAGAGCCTGTGCTCCGCGAAGGGAGAGGCCACAACAGTGAGAGGCCCGCGTACCACAAAACAAACAAACAAACAAAAAAACCAACCAAACAAACAAATTATTTTGGAAACAGCTTCAAACTCACAGAAAAGTTGAATCGTTGAGAGTAAGTAGCCAACATGTTGTTCCATCACCCCCTTCAAATAAGGACATTCTCTTATATAACCACAGTCTAACCATCAAAACCAGGAATTTAGCATTGATACATTATCATCTTATCCTCAGATCCCACTCAGATTTTCTCAGTTGTCCCAGTGATGTCACTTTCACTTATAGCTGGCCCTTGAACAACACAGGTTTGAACTGCATGTGTCCACTTATATGCATTTTTTTTCAATAAATAGTACAGTACTACACGATCTGCAGCTGGTTGAATCTGCAGATGTGGAACCGCAGATACAGAGGGCCAACCATAAAGTTATATGTAGGTTTTCAACTATGCAGGGGATTGTTTCCCCTAACCTCTGAGTTGTTCAGGGGTCACGTGCATAGCAGAAGGATCTAGGTCAGAATCAGATATTGCACTTAGTTGTCATGTCTCTTTCGTCTCCTTCAATTTGTAATAGTTCCTCAGTCTCTCCTTGATTTTCATGACCTTGACCCTTGACGATTATGGGCCAATTATTTTGAAGAATGTCCCTTAACTTGGGTTTGTTTGATATTTCCTCTTGAATCGATACAGGTTATGTACCTTTGGTAGGAATAGCACAGAAGTGTTGCTGTGTTCATTTCACTGCAACCTATCAAGTGGCGCAGATTTCAATTTGTCCCAGTACTGGTGTTAACTTTAATCACTTAAAATGGTGTCTGCAAGGCTTCGGCACTGTCAAGTTAATCTTTTCACCTTTAATTAGTAAGTGTCTTGTAGGGAAGTACTTTGAAACCACGTAAATACCCCATTTCTCACCAAAATTTTAATCTATTCATTTATTTATTTTTTATATCAACATGGACCCATGAATTCCTACTTTATTCAGTGGGTTGTAATCTGTTACTATTATTATTTATCTGTATGCCCAAATTGCCCTAGCTTCCACCTTTCAACCTGGACTGTGTCTTTTTGGCATGTCTCTATCATTCTCTGAGTACTTCTTTAATTTCTGACAGAAGATCTTGTATTTTCCAAGCCCCAGCCTGAAATTAGCCATTCGCCAGGGAGCTCTAGTTTCTTTTAATGGAGAATGCTATTTGGAAACCAGGATCTAGGTACTCTCACCGTGGATGCCCTTCTCGGCTTGTTTAGGCTCTGACACGCTGCTTTGACCACCATGGGTCCCCTACACTACACCACAATAGACCTTACTCGGCCCCATCTAATGACTCTTGGATCGAACTTTTGGGGAAGGAAAGAGAAAGAGGAAAAGCTAATCTATTTTTTACTTTAGAGTTTCCCAGACTTCAGTCATTCAAGCCGTACCTTTAGAACTTGACCAACTCTGCTATGATGTACTTGGTATTTTTCTTTCAAATCATTTTGTTTTTCCTTTAATCATTTTGTTCATCCTGAGCAAATCATGGGTTTGATGGGCTGCTTAGGTTTTTTCTAATACCCATTACAATAAATTAAAACTACTAAAGTAAGAAAAGTTTATCCATCTACTTCTTTTTTTTTTCCTGTTCTTTTTTTTTAAAACATCTATATTGGAGTATAATTGCTTTACAATGGTGTGTTAGTTTCTGCTTTATAACAGAGTGAATCAGCTATACATATACATATATCCCCATATCTCCTCCCTCTTGCGTCTCCCTCCCACCCACCCATCCTATCCCACCCCTCTAGGTGGTCACAAAGCACCGAGCTGATCTCCCTGTGCTATGTGGCTGCTTCCCACTAGCTATCGGTTTTACATTTGGTAGTGTACATATGTCCATGGCACTCTCTCACTTTGTCCCAGCTTACCCTTCCCCCTCCCCATGTCCTCAAGTCCATTCTCTAGTAGGTCTGCGTTTTTATTCCTGTCCTGCCCCTAGGTTCTTCATGATCATTTTTTTTTCTTTAGATTCCATATATATGTGTTACCATATGGTATTTGTTTTTCTCTTTCTGACTAACTTTACTCTGTATGACAGACTCTAGGTCCGTCCACCTCACTACAAATAACTCAATTTCGTTTCTTTTTATGGCTGAGTAATATTCCATTGTATATATGTGCCACATCTTTATCCATTCATCTGTGGATGGACACTTAGGTTACTTCCACGTCCTGGTTATTGTAAACAGAGCTGCAATGAACATTGTGGTACATGACTCTTTTTGAATTATATCCATTTACTTCTTAAGATTACATTAGGTACAACCAATGTGCATTTGCCACTCTTTGAGAAACACTTGCTTTACTGGATTCCTACACCTGCAGCCTACTGTACTTTTTCAGTGATACTCCACTGATAGGTCCCATATCTTACCCCAGGCAGGAGCTGTACTTCAGGACACAGTTAAATCTCTCAGCAAGGCCTGGTGTGCCCAGGATTCCACCTTGGCTTATGAGAGAGCCTTTCTGGCAGTGTCAGTGAAACTTCTTGAATGTGTGGTCCGCATGACTCCTGAGATGGCAAGGCAGGTGGCTACGTCCATGACAAATATGATCATTGGGAACACTGCCATACGAGAGTATATCCAGGGCCAGGGAGGTTGGGTAAGTATTTTGGGGCCCCTGGCTTTGCTAGACATTTGCATTGTTTTTGTACGAATCTCTGGGACTCCAATTCGTGGTTCTTTCCATCAGTTGGAAACCATGCAGGGAAACTGGCCTTCCAACTTTGCTGAAAATGCCGGGATTTTTTTGCCATGGAAAAGGGGAGGAGTCAGAAGCTCAGCCAGTGGGTCTTGGACCCCAGAGCCAGGCTGCCTAAAATGTTGACTGCTAACTTTGTCAAGCTAATTTCCACTTCCTGTACATAATCATCTATGAAGTATATTAGTGGTGGAGTTCTAATCTCAGTGTGACTTTGCTCTACTGGTAAACTTCTGGGTCTTTTTTCCCTAACATCTTTTGGGTGTGTGTTGAGGAAATTCAGAATCATCTTACTATTATCTAACAAAAAAACAATTGGTGACATCTGCTGTAGTGGTAACGGTAGGAGGCATTCTAAGTCCATGTCTTAGTAATCATTAGAACATCTGCTCTCTTAGAGCACTCCCCTTCATTTCCAAGATCAGCAGAAGCCTTAGTGAGAGCTGCCTTCCCTGGAGTTATCTGTGGGTCATTCTGGCTTCTTTAGGGAGTTCCTGAAGACCATTCCTTTGACTGTAGGATATTCATTGTCCTTCCTAGGAAAATCTGGAGAGCTGAAGAAGAGGTGGAGCTGTTTTCCAGCCTGAAAAACTTTGATCTTCTTTGACTGATCGGGTGATTGATCTCTGGCAATTAAAACAGAAACAACCAAATCAAAACCTTCTTTCTCTTGGAAAGAACTGAACTTAGCTGAATAACCTGTTTTCTACTGATTGTTAAAGTTAGGAGCAGCGCCCAGAGGTCTGTAGAGATTTCATACTTTCTGTTTTTACATGAGTTTTAATGAGGTTTTGTTGAAGCACAGACCTCCAGACTTAAAGTAGTGACTCGTCAGTAGTGGAATTCCAGGCAACAGGGCAGGCATTTGCTGGAGATACTGTGGGGAAAAGGGAACACACAGTAAACCATTCCTTCAGATTTAGTCCTGTCCTCTGGTAAGGATCTTGTCTACTAATTTTGCAGTCTAAAGGGTTTCAGGGAGATCTTTGGTTAGAAAACCTTGTTATTTTAAGTTGAGGATTTTCTTTTAAATTCATAACCTAAATCTCATATTAATTTCACCTGAGCCAAATTATTTTATGTATTTTCAAGGCTGGAAGCAAAAAAAAATAGCACTTTGTTCATCTGCTCTTCTACTAGGAAGGCCAAAGAGCAATAAAACAGTTGCTGCATTTTTATTGCCACAGGATGCAGGAAGTGCTGGCCCACTTCTGGGACAGTAGGGCCATCCCAGCTTAGATGAGGCTAGCTACATACCACAGAGTTTTTCAAAGTGCAGTTTACATACCACTTGCATGTGACCTTATACGTTGCTGATTTCCAGGCCCCATTCGCTAGAGATTCTGATTCTGTAGGGGAGGGCTGGGGCCTAGGTTCCTAACTTTTTAATCAGATCCACTGGTGATTCTAATGTACACATAAATTTTGAGAACCGTCACTATAGAGCAAGGGTTGGGAAATTAGAGCCCACAGGCCCAATCAGCCCACCGCTTTTTAAATTGTTTTTTTGTAAAGAAAGTTTTATTGGAGTGCAGCTACACTCACTTGCTTACATATTATTTATGGCTGCTTTAGCATCGCAGCTGCAGAGTTGAGTAGTTATAGCAGACACCATATAGCCTGTCCTGTAAAGTTTAAAATATTTACTATCTGGCCCTTTAAGTTTGCAGACCCCTGCTCTAAAGCTAAATGAACATTTCTCCTTGTGTAATTTAAACTCTGTTGCAATCCTGATAATTCCAAACAGAACTGTAGATAGGATAACTCCTTTTTCAGAATTTAGTCTGAGTGTTTGTTAGTTTTTGCATAGTCCACACTTTCTTTAGAACCTTTGGCAAAAGGAGCTCTGTGACTCCTGAGTATTCCATAGAAGGTATACATTTCCCTGGCCCTGCCACAAGTGATTGGAGGTAAAGCATATGGTTTCTATGGTCTGTGTATCTCATAACAGTTCTTAATAATCTCATAGATTAGTAGGCAGTCATCAAATAGAGACTTCTTCATCTCTAAGTCCCCAAACCAGACGATTTACCTGAACATCAAGAAGAAAATCACTACTAAAGCATTACTGTATCTATTTTTTTAAGAGAGGTGTTAATGGCTTTGGCTAAAGTTTAACAAAGTTAACCACATCCCCTCCCTTCACCCAGCCAGCCATCTGGCTCCCCTAGATACACAGAAATAAAGCTGTAGTGCTGTTAATGTATTCTGACTTTTTCAACTTATGCTATTTCCTCTATTCTTTGATAAATCACAATTAGGTTAGTAATCCAGAAATGAGATTTCATGTTTCTCTTTAGTAGAAATTATCTTTTTTTGCTACCAATTTAAGACACTTGATGTATTCCTTTGTCCCTTACATTACTGTAAACTCAGCATAGTGAGTTTTGTGGTATTTGACCTCTTAGGTGAAATCATTATTTTCACTTTGACTAATGCTGTTCTGTTCATGAAATAAAATTCTTCTCTCTATGCATTTGAACTAATTCTCAGCAAGTGCAATCTAAATTGAATGATATAGAAATAGGGAGCAGATTGGTGGTTGCCAGGGGCAGGGGGTGGGGGTGGGCTAGAGGAAACAGGTGAAGGTGGTCAAAGGATACAAACTTCCTATGAGATGAAAAGTTCTGGGGATGTAACGTACAGAATGGTGACTATAGTCAACAATACTGTAATGTATATTTAAAAGTCGCTTAGAGAGTAGATTTTTAAAGTTCTCACCATACACACAGATTGTAGCTATGTGAGGTGATGGATATGTTAACTTTGTTATGGTGATCATTTTACTATATATGTATATCAAATCATTACACTGTATACTTTAAACTTACACAATGTTATAGCTCAATAAAACTGGAAAAAAATAAATTGTAGTATTTTTTTTTTTCTGGCCATGCCACACAGCTTGCGGGATCTTAGTTCCCCAGTCAGGGATTGAACCCAGGCCACAGCAGTGAAAGCACAGAGTCCTAACCACTGTACCACCAGGGAACTCCCCTATACTGTAGTATCCTGAGATAGAGGATATGGTGCCCCTGGGGAGTATACCAGGCAAATGGGTAAAGCAGCTCTGGCCTGGGTGTTGTGTTTGTTGTTAGGCCACCCTTTATCCTAGGAATGCTGAAGTGATTTGGGCTGCAAGAAGAAGACACTGTAGCCCAGAGATCAAGAAGGCACTTACGTTGTCTGATTTTAACAACTTAGTTTCACCATAGACAAATCATGTGACATTGGGCAAGTAATCCAATTTCTTTGTGCCTATGTTTCCACAATAGGGTTATTGTGAGGGACAAAAGATACAGTACACTTTGTCAAGGGCTTAGCCCAGTGCCTGGAATATTTTAAGCACTGCTTAAACTATTTGGAGCCCCTGTGGTTTGGAATTCATAGAGTTATAGCTTGACTTTTTTCTCTCCATTAACTCTGTCTCACACAAAGGCAAGCCAATCTTATTTTACCTTTCACCTCAATGTGAGTGATTCCTATGTCTGACTTATTTTCCTTCTTGCTAAATCCATATCCACAAACTCTAATTCTTTATTTCTATCAACCTTTCTTATCCCCACACTTTCCCAGATTGCCATCCAACTAGCTCAAATCCTCAGTCATTTTTCCCTTCTCCCTCCCTCCAGTCCTACTCCCCCAGTTAGTCTTTCTCAGTTATTCCTTCCTTTTTGTCCTGACTCTCCCTACAAGAGTTTATTACCACCTGCTTGGACTACTGGCAAAGCCTTCTAGTTGTGCTTTCAATTGATTGCCCTGTTGCAAGCTTGCCCCATTCCAGTCTGTGCCAAATATACTGCCACGAAATTGGCCAAAGCTGTGATTTCTTTGTCCCTTGTTCTGATTCAGTTTTCGATATGGTATAATTCATTTTGAAATTTTACATGCCACTGAAGGAGATATTGAGACTTTAAAAAAATGTATCAGATGGAGGCATTTACTTTTTAAAAACTATCATTTTCCCAAAGCATTGCTTTATCATTGTCTTAAAATCTTTCAGTGGAACTTTTGAAGGTAATTGGATATATTCATTACCTTGATGGTGGCAATGGTGTCATGACTGTGTACGCGTGCCAAAGCTTATCAAACCTACACTTTGAAACGTGTAGTTTATTGTATGTCAATACTACCTCAATAAAGTTGTTTTAAAAAAACAGTGGTTTTCCATTTCCCATCAAATAGAGCCTGACTTTTCAGCCTGGTATTCAAGTTCCCCCAGGGTCTGGCCCCAACTGCCCTTTCTATTGTTATGGCTCTACATGTGTGTAGAGCATTTTTCTCAGGCTCTACTCACATCTTCAAGACCCAACTCAAGGGGGTTTTTCAAGATGGTGGAGGAGTAAAAGGATGTGGAGTTTCTGCCTCTCCACAAATGCACCAAGAATACATCTACAGGGCTTCCCTGGTGGCGCAGTGGTTGAGAGTCCGCCTGCCGATGCAGGGGACACGGGTTCGTGCCCCGGTCTGGGAAGACCCCACATGCCGCGGAGCGGCTGGGCCCGTGAGCCATGGCTGCTGAGCCTGCGCGTCCGGAGCCTGTGCTCTGCAACGGGAGAGGCCACAATGGTGAGAGGCCCGCGTACCGCAAAAAAAAAAAAAGAATACATCTACAGGGCTTCCCTGGTGGCGCAGTGGTTGAGAGTCCGCCTGCCGATGCAGGGGACACGGGTTCGTGCCCCGGTCTGGGAAGACCCCACATGCCGCGGAGCGGCTGGGCCCGTGAGCCATGGCTGCTGAGCCTGCGCGTCCGGAGCCTGTGCTCTGCAACGGGAGAGGCCACAATGGTGAGAGGCCCGCGTACCGCAAAAAAAAAAAAAGAATACATCTACAGGCTCCCGACGTGCGCAGCGCAGAGGGCGGGCTGGAAGGCCTACAGGTCTGCGCCTGCCCGGCTGCATCGCGGCTCCAAGGGGCGCTGTGAACCACAGCAGGTTCTCGGCTGCTCAGCACTGCATCTCAGGCACGCTGGCCTCAGCCTCCCCCTGTTCCTGCACTGGCCGCAAGGCCTTGTCGGGCTCGGGGGTGCCTTGCTCCTGCAGTCCTGGGCCCACCTCGAGGCTGGCGCACGTGTCCGGGAAGCACGGCCCGAGGCCAGCGAACAAGTCGCAGCACGGCGGGCTCTCCTCCTGCACTGGGCAGCCCACCGGCTCCTCTGTGCCGCTGCCCAGCCCCACCGGACCCTCCTGCGAGTTCTGACTGACGTAGACCACAATGATGTTGCCCTTGAAATTCATCACCTGCCTGCTGGAAATAAACGTGGAGTTACTGTTTCCAGTCACATTTCCTACAAGGAGAGAGGAAGAGAGAACACGCAGAGGACATGATCCAGCAATCCCACTTCTGGGCATATACCCAGAGAAAACTATGGTTGGAAAGGATACATGTACCCCAATGTTCATTGCAGTGCTGTTTACAAGAGCCGAGACATGGAAACAACCTAAATGTCCATCAACAGATGAATGGATAAAAAAAATCCATTGTGGTACGTATATACAATGGAATATTACTTAGCCATTAAAAAGAATGAAATAATGCTATTTACAGCAACATGGATGGACCTAGAGATTACACTAAGTGAAGTTAAGTCAGAAAAAGACAAATATCATATGATATCACTTAAATGTGGAATCTATAAAAAATGATACAAATGAACTGGTTTACAAAACAG